ATTTCCCCACATGTAGAATTACGAGTTTAGAAACTAGGTCAAAGCAGGACAAAAGACGGAAGACGTAGAGTCCATAATGCTGCCAGATCTTCTCCTCTAAGATCAAGGAGTTCTCTTTTAAAAAACAGCTGTTCTGTTCCTTTTGTGCACATTTGACCTCATGGGATATGAACCAGTGCAATATTCAAGTTGTTAAAATCCATCAGCCCAAGTTAACACACCTTTCCTTACTCCAAAATATTAATGAAGCATGACTCGAAGGTGGACCAGACCAAACCTGAGAACTTCCGACGTTTGTTTGTGTGTGTGTGTGTTTTGTTTCCCCTGAGGACAAGCGACTTTGTACATTCAAGGTAAAAGAACAAAGAGATCAACATGTACAGTACAAATACAAACACTTTTAATGAAGCTAACAGTTGACATGCAGGAAGGTTAGGTGTGTGTGTGTGTGTTAGTGTTTCCTGCGAGCGTTCCCTTTGAGGCAAGTTACACAAACCACATGTACACACAATCGCACAAATAAAGGGACAGACAGCCTCAGGATATCACTGAAGCTTTAACTTCCTGTCAGGCTCACTTGTGCTGCAATACATGTCCTGTTTGTGTTTGACTACTTCCTATATGTGTCTGTGTGTTTGTGTTTATCTTTGTCTGTGTGGTTTGTTCAGGACTTTTATGTCAGACACCCTCAGCTTCACTGTTTTAATGGATTTCCAGAGAGTAAGAAACCAGATAGCTGAAAACAATATCTGGATTCAGAGAGGGATAGCCACTTGCTGCCATATTACTCATTACGCTTATCCTGTTACGTAGGGTGTGCAAGCCCCTCCCTCTGTGGGGGGAGCCGGAGATTACTTGAGAACAAGGATGCTTATCCCTGGATTTTTACAGCACTGTCCCTCTTGCTACATTTTTAATTTTTTTTTTTAAACTTGATGCAATGTCTAAGCGGAGGCATACGGCCAACATTCAGAACTTAAAAGGATGATTCTATCATTTCATTTAAAGATACAAAGCAGGAAGTCTGCCAGTCTGTCTCTTGCACCCACTTCCCCTCTTGTGTCTGTCTGCTAGCTGGGGTATGTGTCTGTCTGTGTACAAGTGACTGTAGATGTGTGGTTGCCTCAGTCATGTTTGTGTGATTTATGTTTCTTGTGTTTCTTCTTCTTTTTGTCCTCTCTGTCTGAGTCACGGCGCCTCCTCTTGGTTTTACATTCACTACTGCTGCTGCTGCTGTCGCTCTCCGACTCTTTCCTCTCCCTCTTCCTCTTCTTCTTCAATTTCTTCTCCTGGAGAATAAACACAGAAAAAGCCAGATTGTTTTGCGAAGCATTAGAAGAAACTTGAATATATGAAAACATTACAGTAGGTGAAAAGCAGACAGGGCGTTGGATAGTCGTAGTGGTTATGTTTCTGTGTCCCATCTGAGGCCCTTGTCGCAGCAACCATGAGTATGAACCGATCTCTGTTGTTCGCTGCATGTCATCCCCCACTCATTCCTCTTGACATTTCCTCTCTCTCTTCAGCTGGCAAAATGGCCCAAAAAATAACGTATCTTTCAGTGCATTTCATAAAATGCGAGAAATGTGTGGGTTGTAGCATTAGATGATTCACATCCACGACAAGATATTTAAAAAAAAAAAAAAAAAAAAAAAAAAAAAAGTGCAGACAGATCACGCAAGACAATAACAGATGCATGTTCACCTTCTTTTTCTTCTTCTTTTTGTCTGAGTCCTGCTGTGGTGCAACTGTGGAGGTCTGCTGTTGTGGCTGCTGTGGAGCTACATCATCATCTTCAGGCAAAAGAGCGTACTGCAAGCCGGGGGCAGAGAAACAGTCCTTTGTGAAGTGACCTAAACAAAAGGAAATTGAGTTTATTTCCTGCAATTTTTTCCAGTTAAATCCAGATATCCATATAGAAAGTTGTATCTGACAAATACAAGCACTGTTAATATGTTCATGATGGTTTACCTTTGCAGCCACACTTTGAGCAAGTTGTGTTGAGTACAGCCTCCAGTGTGATCCTGTTGCCTGTGTGATCTCTGAACTGCTTACGTCGCCTTGAATCCTGTCTAAAATCACACACAGATGATCATAAATCACATCTGTCTATGAAATCACATGTGACAAAACTCCAACTGTAATACTTACTCGGCCATAACATTGTTTGGGTCCTGGTCCTGCCCTGTGCCCTGATTAACAGCTTTCATTGAGAAGGACAGTTTCACCTTGTCACCACGAATCTGCGGTTCAAAGAGGACAGAGTTGCAGTAATTCTGCTAACACTGCAGCGTGTGTGTGTGTGTGTGTGTGCGCTTATGAGAGTGTGTGAGTGTTGTTACCTCTCTTCCTATGACTTTAATCCACACCTTTTCCCCAACATCCACAATCTCTGAGGCATTCTCAACCCGAGATGCTGACATTTCACTCACATGTACCAGGCCTGTAGGTGAAAGAGATATGAATTAACATCTAGTGGAAAAAAAATACATAAAATGCTGAGAAATGTAACCTTTTTATTACAACTATTTAACCAAGGGTCAAAAAATAACAGAGAGTGTGCTCGGACCATAATAATACTTACAAGCATCAAAAATAGTTGTGCCAAAAGCCAGACATTATCAAATCCAATTTAAAATCCCTTAGCTGACAATTAAAAAAAATGTCTAACACATAAAAGACCATGTGTTTCAATAAAAGCACTTTCTTTCAGACGTGAAAAGTTTTTTCCCCAAGGATTTGAACAAAATGGTTTGGGTGTGGATTTTGTTTGTGTGTTAAGCTTGCCCTCTAATGGTGACAATGGGTAAAGTAAAATATGTGTCAACCTTTGTTGTAACTGCACACCAACAAAGCTACACAAGTGTAAAAATCATAGATATGAGTTTACTTAATTGATCAATCCAATCTGCTTAATAACGTTCTTGCCCTATAACAAATCCTTCTATGCTTATCTTATTTTGCTCTGCATGCAGATAACTGTTTAACTGATATTCTTAACAGAGATTTTGCTAAAATGTCAAACATTTGTCTGTATAATAAACCATAACTGGCTGGCATACTTATACATATTTTTTTCTCTGTATCGAATGTTATGCATTGTTGTGCAGACATAGTTAAGGATATGGACACTCTTAATGTTCCTGTAAACAAACTATAAGCAAAACTGTCCCCATATCTCATCTTGATAATCTGGTTAATGCAGCTCAAGTGTTTTACGGTATCTGTAGGTTCTGTAGTAAGCATCTTTCTGCCATAACATTTTTAACTAAAATAATAGTCCATCTAACTCTACCTAACTAATGTAGAGTTAGAGTTTAGGGTTTTAGACCAATTTTGGTTACCCATTAGGCCTCTGCTATTCACTGTTAATTTCATTGTGTTGTTTAAGCATCCTTTTTGCTGTAGTATCTTCCAGAATTAAAATGTGTTACCTGTTTCAAAAATCAAATATCTGTGACTGTTTGCTATAAAGTCTAAACAGAGAAATCAGTTTAATTTACCAACCTTCCTTCTTGTATCCAGGCAGTCTGACAAAGGCTCCATAGGTCTGCACAGAAACAACCTCCCCTTTGGCAATGCTGTACATGGGTGGCAGACCCTCAAGTCCAGCAGGCTCAGAAGCTAAGCCGTCACTATCAGACATTGTCACAGTTGATGTTTACCCGCAGACATCGATGAGAAGATCTGGAACGTTCATTTAAAAAACGAGACATATATCATGTTTTGTAGAATAACAATATCAAGAGAAAGTCCTTCCTCAAGGTTGAAAATTACAGATGTTTTGCTCCATGTAAAACAGCCAAGTATCTGAGGACTACCCTTACAGAAGAGAAACACACATATGGTTTGGTACACTTAATAGACCTTTGTTTGTATGCTTTTTTTGTTTGAATAAAAGATATAAAGAGGCCTCCTGGTGACTGTTGATAAACCCCATCAGCTTGTCAAATCTTTGATATGTTAATTAATAATCAATTGCCATTTTTTAGCACAATGATATCCTTATTTGGAATTCTCTTGCAAGCAGAGAACTGTCATCATGATAATATCTGTCTCTCTATACTGTAATCTGTTCTGCACATGTTACATTTACAAATTATCCCTGCACTCATGTTCACTTCATTTGTCTGTCTGCTCGCTGTTATATTGTATAGTTTCTGCTTATAATATTTCTACACTCATGAACTTTAACTTATGTCAATACTGTCCATTTACAACTCTGTTTTTGCACATTTACATTTAATCTTCCATATTTAATCTTCCTATTTAAGACTAGTAATGCTTAGTTAAATCCTGGTTGTATATATTCACATTCTTAGTTTGGATATTTTTAGTAATTATTTACTTTGTATTTAATATTATATTATGTTTAAATTTGCTAACATTGTGGTTTTTTACTCTTATTGTGTGTTTGATAACCTGCTGCTGTAACGCCACAATTTCCCAGTTTGGGATCAATAAAGTAATTATATTATATTATATTTAATTAAATTTTTTCTTTGCAATCTCTCCTCTTCCATATTCATTTATTCCTTGTCAAGATGCAACTAACTGCTTTCAGACACAAATAAAATACATTTGGTGGCTGTGATGTGACTGCTTTAACACTTACAGAGTATAAATGTGTGAAGTAGTTCCTGAAATAATGAAAACTTAACTTAACATGTGCTGTAAGAGAGAAAGGCTTAAAGCTAACAGTAAAGCTAACGTGAGCTAGCTACAGCAAAGCCTCGTTTTCAAACAAGCTAACTTCGGTAACAAGACTACAAGCGTTAACAAGCTAAACGTGCGTAAAGTTTAAAAACAAATCAATTAAAACGGTATGCAGTGAACAGTGTAGCGAGTATTCAGCTGAAAATACGAAATAATTTTATTACCGTACGTGTTAGCAAAGCGGGTTAAGTTTTACTTCCGGTGCATATTAGTTTGACAACAAGCCTTCGAACCAATCAGCGCAGCCGATGTTACACGCGACCAATCACAAACCTCGGCACCAGCGGAAGTACTCCATCTTTACTTCGTTGGTGCTGTTTTGTTCGAAGGTCCCTCCGTTAAAGACGTCCATTCATTTTTTGCTAAAGAAAGCGTTGAAAGTCAACTACATTTCTGTTTCTTGTGGAATACGCCGTCATGATTGAACCAATGAAGAGAGCGGGGGACATGGCGGTGGTTCCTGCCGCAGTGAAGCGGCCCAGGATGGAGCTGGTGGCGGCGGCTCAGTCCCAGCAACTCGTGGCCACGGTACGGATAGTAGACTTCATGTAGCACTCGTCACTATTGTTTAAGGCATCAGACTCATATTTATCGCCAATAATATTTGCAAATTTACCTAGCACACGCAAAAGGGCTTCAGTAAGTTTAAAAGTATATTTTTGGACCGATAAACAGGTTACCAGCTAAACGGGTAAACAGGAAATGAAATAACATTACAGTAATTAATTAAAACTAATTAATTATTAGCTAATGAATGAGAAATAAGACACCTGGTATTGAAATACTTTCCACTTGTTCTTGTGGTTAACTGTTCACTCACACATTGACAAATAATCCATGCATTCTTTAATAAGAGATAATAAGTGCAATAAGAAAGCATATTTATATTTTCATTTCATTGTACAGTGTTCCCCTTGTTATTTTTTTTGTATTATATCTTTGCTTTAATACAGTGTATAACTTTTGTACAGTTTATTTTAAATCACTTAGCTGTTACGACAACTTATTTTTTTTGTACTTTTCTACTCTTTTTTTCTTGCAATGCTAGTCTACTTTATATATAATTTTCTGTACCTGTGCAAATGGCAAACATCTGTTCTATTTAAGGTTATGTTCATTTTGTACCTATGATGCTGTTTCTTCAGGGTCCTCCACGCAGCTCCAGTCTTCAGGCTCCCATTATGCTCATGTCTGGTCATGAAGGAGAGGTCTACTGCTGCAAATTTCACCCTAATGGAGCCACGCTGGCCTCCTCAGGATTTGACAGACTTATATGTAAGACATTAACATATCAACTGATGTAAAGAATACATAATTCTGCAGCTCACACATCTATGTTGCACACCATGAATAACTTGTCGCACGCTTTGTTTATTTGCGACAGTGATGTGGAATGTGTATGGAGATTGTGACAACTATGCCACCCTGAAGGGCCACAGTGGAGCAGTGATGGAGCTGCACTACAACACTGATGGCAGGTATGAACAATCAGTGTGATGAAGTTTTCAGTTTATTATATGCCTCGCTCAAAGTATGGTAGCACATGGTTCTTAAAGTATATGAATGACAGTTGTAAAATGAATTATTTTTACATACCGTACATAAACTGTAAACGTTGGCTTTTGCCAGCTTTAGTGTCGCAATTTTTCTTTATTGATTATGAACTAAACTGTAACATTGACTAGATTACTAATCTATTGAGAACAACAAACATATCACCATTTCATGTATTTTATGTGCTAAGATTATTTGTAAAGGATGTGCAAAACGTCTTGCTTCATGTATCAGTAAATTGAGTCTAAAAAGTTTAAAGGAGTTCTGATATCGTTCTGTGTATTTCAGCATGCTGTTTTCAGCCAGCACAGACAAGACTGTAGGTGTGTGGGACAGTGAAACTGGAGAGAGGATCAAGCGTCTGAAAGGCCATACCTCCTTTGTTAACACCTGCTACCCGGCACGCCGAGGACCCCAGCTCGTCTGCACCGGTAGCGATGATGGGACTGTCAAGGTGAGGTCTCCCTATTTTAGATAGTTTACATCAAAGTAAATAGTGTAGATTTGGGATAATTTCTACTTATTTTATTTTGTCTTGGCCGTAAATCCAGGTTATCTGTTGGTCTTATGTGGTTTTGTTTATTTCATTTTGTTTGCCACTTCTTTTTTTTTCTTTTTTTTAAGCTGTGGGACATTCGTAAGAAAGGGGCAATCCACACCTTCCAGAACACCTACCAGGTGCTGGCCGTGACCTTCAACGACACCAGCGACCAGATCCTGTCAGGAGGCATCGACAATGATATCAAGGTACTGAACTCATGCAAAGATATAGGGCTTTCAGACTTGCAGAAAAACTCCTGATATTTCCAGGACGAGCTGTATGTGTGAACGCAAACAGCCAAATTGTTCGTTGGGACTTCACCTGGAGTTTCTCCTGCCAGGCCACTAGTATTTTTTCTGCAGCCAGTCAGAGTGAGCTGATGTGAGAAAGCAGCAGGATATTCTCCAGATTATTCCCCTCGAGCCAATGGGAGGGAGAGTGATGTTTATATACTGTGACTGCTGCACAATGCATTGTGTGTATGCACTGGCCGATCTCCGTAATTAAACGGCTGCATTACGTGTTCTGTTTGCCAGTATGTTATTCTCCGCTCTTTTGTTGATATTGTGATTCTGTTGAACCACATGAAGCATTGATATGAAGGCAAATATTCTCATTATAGCGTCTTATAGAGGACTTTGTTGCTTCATCTGCTTCTTTTATTTTTATTTTTTTGCGTCATATCTTACCTCTGGAGACCCCGTGCCACCCTCTCGTCTGACAAGGATAGTCTCCCGCTGTGAGGTGCATATGTTAACAGCCAGGTCAAGAGAATAACCGGAGCAGTCCTCCTGAAATGATCTAGATATTTTTAGGAGTTTATGTGTGAAAACGGCTTAAGAAACCTGAAAGTAATAACGCAAATGTCTCGTTTGTATGATACAGTATATTACCAGATCTAATGAGAGATTTTAACAAGCCTTAAAGACATGTACATCAGCAGCATTAGCATGGGTCCTATAACTAAAATGTATTAGTATATATTTTTTTAAGGTTACACCTAACCATTATAGGAGGATTTTCAATAGGGACATATAACTAAGGACACAATAAGGTTGTTCAGTTATCAAATTGTTTACTGCTAGTTTCTGAATATTACACTGTCACACTCAACTTTCAAATAATGTTATTGAAGACGGCTACCTACTGTGAAGAAGTAAGAAATAGAAAGGATAGGAATGCTTATGAATCTGAACCATCACTCTTTTTGTCAAATCACCTGGTTGTAAAGACAACCACAGACATGGTGCAACACATTGAAAATGAGTTACAGTTTGTCCATGGGAAGTCTTTAATGTCTGTGGATCAGATGGGGATATAACAGATATTATAATATGCACCCAGCTAGTGGGCCAATTACTCTCATCCTCTTAGTTTTCTCTCAAAATAGCAAGCATGCACCACTCCTGTATGGTGGTTTGTGAATTTCAATTTATTTTCTTTTTTTAGTTATCTGCTTATTGCTGGTGAGTTGTATCCCAAGAATTATCTCAAAAGTTTAGACCACTGTCACTCAATCATTCAAATCTGTACTTTGATAACCTCCACTGTAGATGTGTAGCAGAACACCAAAACCTCCTTTTCATTCTTAAGGTTGAATGAAGGTTCACTATTTTCTGACAATTGGACAATTGACAAACCCCAATAATGACAACATATTTTTCACCTTTGGACACTGCTACAGATCTGACAATGACATAGAAGCTCAAGTTGAACTCTTTGCTCTTCATGCAAAGGCCTTTTTATAAACCCTGTCTTTCTGTGTGTTGTGCAGGTGTGGGACCTGAGGCAGAATAAGCTGATCTACAACATGCATGGACACGGAGACTCAGTAACTGGACTCAGCCTGAGCTCTGAGGGCTCATACCTCCTATCAAACTCTATGGACAACACAGGTGGGATGCTTTTGGTGTCTTTTTTATAAACGGAGTAAGAAAAAGCTTTACCTGTGGTCCTAACACTGAGCTTCTTATGACTGATTCCGTACGTGTCTTTGTGTAGTGCGCATCTGGGATGTCCGACCGTTTGCACCCAAGGAGAGATGCGTGAAGATTTTCCAGGGCAACGTCCACAACTTCGAAAAGGTAATTTACAGAGAACCCTCTGACCCTTTATGGATTTCAAGTCTAATGTTGTCAATATAAACTTACAGTTCCCCTGCTCCTGATACAATCTCTAACTTCTCACATAAGCTTGGTGCATAGTGGCTGCAGTGCTGCTAGCAGTGTTTTTGTATGGCTGTGGCTCAGTGGTGGTCAAACAACAGCCAGCAGTCTCCTTCACTCTGATATTAAAACTCGGTCTGCTCTGTGACTAACTCTCATCTTGAAAATGCAGTTTCTTTAATCTTATTCTGTGTTTCAGAATTTGCTGAGGTGCTCCTGGTCCACTGACGGCAGTAAGATAGCTGCAGGCTCAGCTGACAGGTGAGAGGCAACAAAACATTTATACACACACACACGCTCATAACATTAACATACATGTGCTCGTACATGACTTAAGGTTTATCTGATTCAGGGAACAGTCATTGTATTAATTTTCTACTGTTTGAAATATTACCATCATAACTTTTATAAAGACAAGAAAACACTTCTTACCATTCTTTTCTCCCTCTCAAAAAAAAAAAAACGGCATAGTGAATGTAAAAAAAGATCTTAAGCTGTTAAAAAACACCAATATGTTCTCGGATACCTGTACACACTAACTATCATAGAGCCATATCTACAAACCTTCCTATATAGATAAAGTAGCCTTAATGCACCTCATGACATTTATCTGGTCAGTATACAATAATTAAGTTCATGTGTAAAAAAAAAAAAAAATTGTCATGGTTAATTGATTTGAAAATTAAGTGGTATGAAAATTTACAGCATTTCCAGTATTAACAGTATGAATACAGTTAGTAGAAAACAATATATCGTTTCCTCCCATGATAACACTTTAAGTTGCTTTGCTGGGAGGGGAGGATTTTGGAGTTTATTCAGCCACCTTCAAACAAGCACTGACTAGAGCCACTTAGTTTTTGTTTTGCCTCGCTTTCTCTCGTTCTTTTTTTTTCTTTAAATGTGGAAAATATTGGATTATTCTGTATCTGTTTTTTTATGGATAAAATGAGATACAGATGAGGGAATTGTTAGAGCTTCAAGCTACGGCTTAATTTATTGGAAAACTACAACAGATAAAGCATTCATTATTACCTTATTTAAGAGATCATGCTTCTATTAAACTTACTTCAAGATAAGTTATTAACATGCATAACTTCACATTTTGTACTGTCATCATGCCAAACAGTCATTGAAATAGATAGTAGAACAGAAATAAATCATTTATGAAACAAAACTTGTATTTCAAAGTATCAGTGAAGCAGAAAAAATCTAACTAGGATGTAACACAATAAATGCATGTAGGAGATTAATATGAAATGTAACTAAATAAGTAATAAGACATTGACCAACAAAACATGATCCAAAGCCAAAGGTTGAGCAGTTTCCTGTTTGATAAAGGACACATTATTCAATCAGTAAGCTGCTCCTGTGGAGGCAACAATACGGGTACACACACTGAGATGTGACTCCAGGCATCATTGCATAGCTTCCTGCATCATACAGCTGTTACAGTGAAGCCATAAGATGAGGATGCATTCACCAATGACTCCTCCAACACCTGCTTCACCTCACAAAGCTTTGGTGGATTCCTGCTGCCACAGTGTGAGCACACTCTAAGAGTATTATTATTAAATATTATAATATTAAAAGATCCAACTATAAGTTGTTTTTGGAGAGAGCACATTCAGTTTATTTCCTTATCATTTCTTATTTACAGAAACTGTGAAGCCTCACATTACCTCATTTAAAAGCTTGTTTCTTGTGCTTTTTGCCCCCAGCCTCCACAATTAATATATTACTTTTTGCAATATTGCAATTTTCAGGTACATTTATTAGGGAACTCTAACCAAAGGCACATGTTTCCTCAGAGTTTGCTTCACCAACATGCAGAATCTGCACTTTAAATTACAATGTGCCACTCCGGGCTTTTCAAGAGATTGGGAGATGACCTCTGATAGATAAATCTTGTTATATATGAATAATTAAGAGACTAAATGCAAACATACACTATGCCGCTTGTGCATTACTGTGAGCCAGTTAACATGTAAAAGATATGGACACGTCCTGAGTACACTTGCAGCATGTAATAGACATGTATGATTAATGATTTGTCTTAAGGTATTTTTAGGGGAAATTGGACTCACCTGTTATTGAAATCATTAAAAAACAAACTGTGGATATACATTGTGTGAGTACTTGTATATGTGTGTACACGTTTCATCAGAGTGCACCATTTGATAGTAATGGGTGATATGTAAATAAATATTAAAAATCAGTGCACATTTTGAACTGTGAATTTGTTATTTATAGGTGTTTCATCGACCATAAGTGACTGATTATCAACTGGTGGTCCTAGTGATATCTTAATTACTTGTCATGAATACTAAGACAGTATTGAAATAAAGGAGTCATTGTAATATTTACTTGTCTTTGTTTATAGGTTTGTGTACATATGGGACACCACATCACGCAGGATCCTGTACAAGCTTCCAGGCCATGCCGGCTCCGTCAACGAAGTAGCCTTTCACCCAGAGGAGCCCATAGGTGAGTCAAACACTGCTTCAGTACATGTTGTAACCACACTGTGCGAGAAATCAAGATATTTAAAGAATGAATGTTGTCATCCACTAAGGGTCATGACTCATACAAAAAGTTTAATTCTCTTTTTCTCTTTTTCCCTCAACGCAGTTCTGTCCGGCTCCAGTGATAAACGCCTCTACATGGGAGAAATTCAGTAATGTGTGTTTGAGTGTAAACTTCGATGTGTGTCTGTGTGTGTGTGTGTGTGTGTGTGTGTGTGTGCGCGTGTGTGTGTGTCTGTCCTGCTTCAGATGTTGATGGGATGTGGTTAGTGGGTTAAGAGTCTCTGTAATTTCATGTGCTCCAACCTCATCACAGAACCACCTCAGGACACGTCTCTGAAGTTTATAATGCTCAGCTTGTTTTATACAACGATTTTTTTTTCTTTTTAATAAACTTCAATATTCTGTAGAAAAGTATCCGTTGTCATTATTAAACTTTCATCTGGGGCGTTTTCATCTAACAAGATTAAAAGTAGGAAACAGAGTGACCTAATTATGCCTGGAGGAGTTATTTTTGATCATTTATCCACCACTACTAAGATGCTTTTTTTTTTTTTTTTTTAAATAGTGCTTGTTACTCAAAGAATGATGAAGAAACAGTGCAGAAGCTGCGCAGAGAATGTTCTTTGTACAAACTAATACTGAATAGTTTGTACAAAGGTATTTTGGTAACACCAAGTATGTGTAGGCCTATTCATTTACCCTACCTTTATTCAGCCTCTTGATTAGTTAGAATCCATGCTGATTAATTAATCAAGTTATTTTAGTTAGGACTATATGTGGAGTAACCGGCATGTGGCTGATTAACGTTATTTTTCCAGTCTAGCTGTACCATGAACTTGTGTTTCCTTGCTGAATGGAGCTCGGATTATGGGTCACTTAATGTATCACAATAAATTATTTTAGAGTTTTGTGTGAAGCAAAACACATTTAATTAAAACACATTCAAAGGATACGAGTAAAAATATTTTCAATAAAATTGAAGAAATGAAAATGAAAGTGCTTGCTATTATGAATAAGCAATGTCCAATATTTTTATACATAAAGAACAGTTGATATACATTTCTATTTGAAAAAACATCTTGTGTGTTGGCCGGAACAAGGGTTTTTACTCATTTTTACTGCTCCCCTGCCATAACATGTCTCTCCATCTCCCACTTAATTGCTTTTAAAAGCACATGTTTTTTAACATTTTGTTTTGTTCCTGATTTTGTTGCTATGTTTCATTATTTTGAATTCATAAAAATGTAGCCTACCCTTTTTCTTATTTGTCTATGGACATGTCATTAAACCTGTTTTAAACTATAAGTACATCATTTATTGAGGCTACATTGGGGTGTTTTCTCTGAATCATTACCAACAGTGTGTGATTTGTTTTAAACACTTCTCCAATTAATGTTAGCTCGGTTGTAATAATCTAGTTATAAGGTACTCTTTGTTTTTTTGTGTATGAGCCCCGTTTCTTTGTGCTCCTGTCGAGCGGGTCTGCAGATTGCATGCAGCTCCTCCTCGAGGGGGTCGCGGTGACTGAGAGCCCCCACCCCCTCGTTTCTCTCTCTCTCTCCCCCCTCGGCTCCTCCTGCGCCCGCCCCGGCACCGATTGTTGACAAAAGACGCTGCGAAACCGCTCGAATGAAACTGGTCCTGGTGAGCTTACATGTCCGTTAACTTGACTTCTTTTCACCTACAGGGAGAGGGGAAGGGGACTGGGGGTGAACGGGGTTTTTTTTAGGGGAACGAGGACTCTGCCTTTCTTAGAAAAACCTTGAGTCACAGCGGACTGCTTTGTGTCCGTAGAGAAGTGCATGTAGCCAAACGTTAGCCGTAGTAACGCTGCGGGGTCGGTCCCCCCTCCCCGCCGTCCCCGTGTGATTCACTATCATATGACGCTCATTTCTGTCTGCAGCCCGGGCTCGATTATGACAGCTTTCCGTCTCTCTTTGTGTCTTTGTGTGTCCCCTCTCCGGAAGGTGTGGCCGAGGTGATTCTGTTGTCGGTGGTGGGACCGCAGCAGGCCGGCGTGAACTGGACCCCTCCTCCTCCTCCTCCTCTTCCTCCTCTCCTTCCTGAAAACCACCGTGATTGGTATTTACCGACAAAGCCAGCGGCCAAGATGGGTCACCCACTGTGAGTGAAAGAGTCACCTCAGCGCTGACGGAGGGGGAGGCGGCGGCGGCGGCCTTGGGCACGTCTACTTTGCCGGGAATGGTGTGAGCTGAGACGACCAGGCAGTCTGGATCTGACTGGGGACTCGTCATTCCCCCGGAGCCTCCGCGGCCCCAAGCCGCGTCCTGAGCCTTCCAAGATGGGGAAGTGCGACGGAAGATGCACGCTGCTGGTGATATGCTCGCTGCAGTTGGTGAGTCTGTGTGTGTCTGTGTGTGTGTCTGTGTGTGTGTGTTTGTGTGTGTGTGTGTGTGTGTGTGTGTGTGTTTGTGTGTGTTGTGTGTGTGTGTGTGAGTGTTTGTGTGTGTGTGTTTGTGTGTGTGTGTGTGTGTGTGTGAGTGTGCACAGCTGAAGCTGCCTCAGCACCAGGATATAATTAGAGCAGCGTGCTTCAGACACTCACACTGTAATCAGACATTTTTGTCCGGCCTCTCTTTACAGTCAGACTGAAAAAGCTGCGAGCTGCAGCTGCCAGGATGCCATGCCACATAACAGGCGATTGAGTGTTTCTTTGAAGCAAAGGGAGCGAGGCAGGGGGCGCTTTGGTGTAAGGGTGGTCTGTAGGGGAGAGACAGTGAGGTGTTACCCCCATTCTGGTAAAACCATGTGAATGCTAAGCACAAGACAAGGAGGCCATGTCCACCTTCTGGTCTCCATTCTGTATTTAAAGTTATCTCCTCCTTGTGCCTACAAATAGCTTCAGACTATCCCTCTAAATGCAATAAGCATGTAATATGAGACTGTGGTTGGATGATGCAGGCATGGACAACAGAGTGAGGGGCTTGTTGTTCAGGCTTTTGTTGTGCAGGGCTGATGGGTTGTTGTGCAGGGGCAGGGGGATTCGGCCCATAGATTCTCATTAGTTTGGGGGAGCTTTTGGGGGGATGCTCCCCTTTCTACAGTCACTGGACTAACTGGTGCTCCAGGCAGTTACCATGGAAACAACTGCAGCAGACCTGTGTATGTCCTGTCACAGTGTGTGTATGTGTGCGCGTGAAACCGTGACATCTTGCGTGTGTCTTATTTGCATATGTCCTTAATAGTGTGTGTATTTGTATTGTTGTGTGTTAAATATTTTGTTTGTGTGTATTTATGGCCCTCCCCCCTGTCCTCTAGGTGGCGGCCCTTCAAAGGCAGGTGTTTGATTTTCTGGGATATCAATGGGCCCCCATTCTGGCCAACTTCCTGCACATCATGGCCGTCATCCTGGGCATGTTCGGCACCGTGCAGTTTCGATTCAGATACCTCATCTTTGTGAGTGAATCCCTCAGCAGCTCCTGTTTACTTTATCATGAGTGTGTGTTTGTATGTAGAGTTCCTCTCATACAGTATCTGTTCTGGATGTGTGTCCTGCAGTATGCAGTATGGCTGGTCCTCTGGGTGGGCTGGAACTCGTTCATTATCTGTTTCTACCTGGAGGTTGGAAACCTGTCTCAGGTGAGTCCTGTGTTTTTATACATTATAGATACTTTGCTTTGTATTACAACAACAAAAACACTCCTATTCTTGATTATGTTTGATAAATCAGTGAGTTGAGTTGTTTCTTGTCATTATTGTCAAGCTTGTGGTTCCATGACTTCTTAATGTTTTCATTTTCTGTAACACTATACATGTTTACCTTGATTCATTATATGTTCAAGTATTTTGTTATTATTTTAATTTTAGTACATTTACTTAAGTACTAAGTATTAAAAGTATTACTAAGTATTAAAATCATAGTTTTATCATAGAGGAAATGATTTGTCGAAAATCATCCCTAATTTAGTGTAGAAACATTTTATTCCCTGTTTTAAAGCTTTTTAATCATTTGGCTTCACGATCTTTGGGATTTACATTGTGACATGTTGGTGAGATCCTGAACTACAGATTAGTAACCACAGGTTGAAATGATGTAACATGAACAAAAATGTCAAATATAGTCTGGTTTCAGCTTCTCAAATATGAATATGAGCTGTGCTTTTCTCTTTCAATTACTTGAAATCAGTGTCATATTTGTCTTTGAGAAATCTTAAAATCTCTTCTCTCTTTTCTGACATTTTATAGTAAAATCCATAATTGGATAAATCATCAGGAATAGTTGATGAGTGATGCCATTAATTGTTTGTGATTGTGTGTTCAGGACAGAGACTTTCTCATGACGTTCAACACATCCCTCCATCGCTCGTGGTGGATGGAGCATGGCCCTGGTTGCCTGGTAACGCGGCTGCTAGACTCTCACATGGCCCCAGACGACCACCATGTCATCACTGTCTCTGGGTGTCTCCTTGACTACCAGTACATAGAGGTGTTGAGTTCAGCCATTCAGGTCCTACTGGCTGTACGTATCTATACATGCGCACACACACACACACACACACACACACACACACACACACACACACACACACACACACATATTCATACACATTTTGTGAAAGAATATCTTTGCTTCAGCAGTCACCTAATTTCTCACCATCCCTCCTCTTCAGCTCTTTGGTTTTGTGTACGCCTGCTACGTGAGCAAAGTCTTCCAGGATGACGAGGACAGCTGTGAGTGTCTTTTGTCTTCTTTTAAATCTCCTTGAGCCTCCTGTAGTGCCTCATTCGGCTGATCAGGTTTACTTATGTCACACTATCAAGGGGGCTTTAGTGTAAGCAACCCGGGGTTCTGGGGGTTAGGCCGCGTTGTTTTCTCCTGCTTTAGTCACTCTTAACTCTGTCGGTGCAGAGGATTCCCGCTGGCTGATCTGAGCACTCCATCTGTGGGGAGTATTCAAGAGGCCGGCTGGAATATGCTTGTCTTGTCTGCTCATTTGTGCCATCACTGTGTCTGAATGGTACTTTCCTTGGTGCCTCCTGTGTTTGTGTTTCACTCTTCACTCAATGAGAGAATAATGTCCTGTCGATATGACTTGACATGAACTTGATTTCCTGTTAAAGGGACATTGTGTGTCTAAAATGTCTTAACAGCATTTCATATAGTATGAGTGTGCATGTAATAACATACAATATAACTTTTATAGATAAATAATTTGCCATCTTGTGCTGGAATTTGAGGAAAATGTAGATTTTAATAGCTGTATATGTAAACCTTTTTAATAATCCTGTAATAATTTAGCTGCTTATGATATGAACAAAAACTCAACGAGCATGTCTTGAAACAACAAACAATTTAGCACTTACAAAATAACCCTGTTGTGGCTTTCTTGTAGACAAAATGGTTGTATGTGAAACATGTTTTCGAAAAGAACTCCAACAAATTTA